CTGTTGAGCCTTTGCATTACTCTCCTAGGCCTCTGCATCACTCTCTATAGCCTCTGTATCATTCTCTTCAGCCCTTGCATTCCTCTCTTGAGCCTCTGCATCCCTCTCGTGAGCCTCTGCATCACTTTCTTAAGCCTCTGTATCCATTTCTTGAGCCTCTGCATGCCTCTCTTGAACTCCTGCATCACTTTCGTAAGCCTCTGCATCACTCTCCTGAGCCTCTGCATAACTCTCTTGAGTCTCTGCATCACTCTCTTGAGGTTCTGCATCCCTCTCTTTAACCTCTGCAACACTCTCTTAAGCCTCAGAATCCCTCTCTTGAGCCTCTGAATCCCTCTCCTGGTCCTCTGCATCACTCTCTTGATCCTCTGCATCACTCTCTTGATCCTCTGCATCACTCTCTTGAGCCTCTGCATCACTCTCTTGAGCCTCTGCATCACTCTCTTGAGCCTCTGCATCACTCTCTTGAGCCTCTGCATCACTCTCTTGAGAGTGATGCAGAGGCTCAAAAACTGCAGGGAGGGTTTGGGCAAAATTTGACTCATCGGCGCGTTAAGTAATTGGCATATTTTCGGTATAAAAGTTCGTAATTTCAAACTGCGAATACGTGTAGAGAGCCAGAATTTGGGTAAAAAATATGGTTCAAGGGTCGAATTTGGGATGTTTGGGATATTTTGAAAGCTGCAGGGATCGTTTGGGCAAAATTTGACTCATCGGCGCGTTAAGTAATTGGCATATTTTCGGTATAAAAGTTCGTAATTTCAAACTGCGAATACGTGCAGAGAGCCAGAATTTGGGTAAAAAATATGGTTCAAGGGTCGAATTTGGGATGTTTGGTATATTTTTAAAACTGCAGGGAGGGTTTGGGCAAAATGTGACTCATCGTCGCGTTAAGTAATTGGCATATTTTCGGTATAAAAGGTCGTAATTTCAAACTGCGAATACGTGCAGAGAGCTAGAATTTGATTCCAAAATATGGCTCAAGAGTCGAATTTGGGATGTTGGGATATTTTCAAAACTGCAGGGTGGGTTTGGGCAAACTGTGACCCATCGCCGCTCTCAGTAATTGGCATATTTTCGGTATAAAATTCATAACTTCAAAATGCGAAAACGTGCCGAAAGCTAGAATTTGGCTCCAAAATATGGCTCAAGCGTAGAATTTGGGACGTTTGGGATATTTTGAAAACTGCAAAAAGGGCTTCGGCAAAATGTCATCCATCGCCGCTTTCAGTAACTGGCATATTTTCTGTAAAAAAAGTCGTAATTTCATATTGCGAATACATGCTGAGAGCCAGAAATTGTCTCAAAAAATGCCTCAGAGGTTGTATTTGGGATATTTGGGATATTTTGAAAACTGCAGGGGGGTTTGAGCAAAATGTGACCCATCGCCGCTTTCAGTATTTGGCATATTTTCAGTATAAAAAAAACTTAATTTCAAACTGCGAATACGTGCAAAGAGCCAGAATTTGGTTCCAAAATATAGTTTAAGGGGAGAATTAGGGCTGATTATGATATTTTCAAAACTGCAGGGAGGGTTTGGGCAAAATGTGACTCATCGTCGCGTTCAGTAATTGGCATATATTCGGTTTAAAAATTCGTAATTTCAAACTGCGAATACGTGCAGAGAGCTAGAATTTGATTCCAAAATATGGCTCAAGAGTCGAATTTGAGAGGTTTGGGATATTTTCAAAATTGCAGGGTGGGTTTGGGCAAACTGTCACCCATCGCTGCTCTCAGTAATTGGCATATTTTCGGTATAAAATTCGTAATTTCAGACTGCGAAAACGTGCCGAGAGCCAGAATTTGGCTCTAAAATATGGCTCAAGCGTCGAATTTGGGACGTTTGATATATTTTGAAAACTGCAGGGAAGGCTTGGGCAAAATGTGATCCATCGCTGCTTTCAGTAACTGGCATATTTTCGGTATAAAAGGTCGTATTTTCAAACTGCGAATACTTGCAGAGAGCAAGAATTTGGCTCCAAAATATTGCTCAATAGTCGAATTTGGGATGTTTGGGATATTTTCAAAAGTGCAGGGTGGGTTTGGGTAAATTGTGACCCATCGCCGCTCTCAGTAATTGGCATATTTTCGGTATAAAATTTATAATTTCAAACAGCGAAAACATGCCGAGAGCCAGAATTTGGCTCCAAAATATTGCTCAAGCGTAGAATTTGGGACGTTTGAGATATTTTGAAAACTGCAAAGAGGGCTTCGGCAAAATGTCATCCATCGCCGCTTTCAGGAACTGGCATATTTTCTGTATAAAAAGTCGTAATTTCATATTGCGAATACGTGCAGAGAGCCAGAAATTGTCTCAAAAAATGCCTCAGAGGTCGTATTTGGGATGTTTGGGATATTTTGAAAACTGCAGGGGGGGTTTGGGCAAAATGTGATCCATCACCGCTTTCAGTATTTGGCATATTTTCAGTATAAAAAGTCGTAATTTCAAACTGCGAATACGTGCAGAAAGCCAGAATTTGGCTCCAAAATATGGTTCAAGCTTCTGCTTCTCTCTCTTCAGCCTCTGCATCACTCTCTGGAGCCTCTGCATCCCTCGTTGGAGCCTCAGCAGCCCTCTCTTGAGCCTCTCCAGCACTCTCTAGAGCCACTGTATCACTCTCCTAAGCCTCTGCTTCCCTCTCTTGATCCTCTGCATCACTCTCGTTAGCCTCTGCATCACTCTCTTGATCGTCTGCATCACTCTCTTGAGGCACTGCATCATTCTCTTGAGCCTCTGCATCCCTCTCTTAAGCCTCTACATCATTCTCTTGAGCCTCTGCATCACTCTCTTCAGCCTCTGCATCACTCTCTTAAGCTTCTGCATCTCTCTCTTAAGCCTCTACATCATTCTCGTGAGCCTCTGCATCCCTCGTTGGAGCCTCAGCAGCCCTCTCTTGAGCCTCTCCAGCACTCTCTTGAGCCTCTTCATCATTCTCTTGAGCCTCTGCATCCCTTTCTTATGCCTCTGCATCACTCTCTTGAGCCTCTGCATCCCTCTCTTAAGCCTCTGCATCACTCTCTTGAGCCCACGAAGAAGCCTCTGTCACGAAGTCCCTTCTCTCCAGATGTGTTACTAGGTTTTTTCTCACGATCTTCTCCATCACTTTGCATGGTATACAAGTTAGGGACACTGGCCTGTAGTTCAGTGCCTCTTGTCTGTCACCCTTTTTGTATATTGGACCACATTAGCTGCCTTCCATATTTCTGGTAGGTCTCCCGTCTCCAGTGACCTACTATACACTATGCAGAGTGGCAAGCAGAGTGCCTCTGCACACTCTTTCAATACCCATGGTGATATCCCGTCTGGACCAACAGCCTTTCTCACATCCAGATCCAACAGGTGTCTCTTGACCTCATCTCTCGTAATTTCGAACCCTTCCAAGGCCGCCTGGTTTACTGCCCCCTCTCCTAGCCCAGTGATCTCACCACGTTCTATTATGAAGGCCTCCTGGATCCTCTTGTTGAGTTCCTCACACACCTCTTTGTCATTCTCTGTATACCTGTCCTCGCGTAAGTTTCATTACTTGTTCTTTTACTATTGTTTTCCTCATGATGTGACTGTGGAGTAGCTTTGGATCGGTCTTGGCTTTGCTTGCTATATCATTTACATAATTTTTCTTTGTTTCCCTTCTCACACTAATATACTCATTCCTGGTTCTCTGGTATTTCTCTCTACTTTTTGGTGTTCTGTTATTTCGGAAGTTCCTCCACGCCCTTTTGTTCAGTACCTTAGCTTCCATACATGCCCTGTTAAACCATGGATTCCTCTTTTGCTTCTTGTATTTTTCCCTTTGGACTGGGATAAACCTGTTTACTGCCTCCTGACACTTTTGGGTGACATACTCCACAATGTCTTGTACCGACTTAGCTCTGAGGTCTGTGTACCATGGTATATCCCTTAGGAAACTTCTCATCATTTGTAGTATACCTGACTCTCACTCTGGTTACTGTAGTATACCTGACACTCACTCTGGGTACTGTAGCATACCTGACACTCACTCTGGGTACTGTAGTATACCTGACACTCACTCTGGGTACTGAAGTATACCTGACACTCACTCTGGGTCCTGTAGTATACCTGACACTCTGGGTACTGTAGTATACCTGACACTCACTCTGGGTACTGTAGTATACCTGACACTCACTCTGGGTACTGTAGTATACCTGACACCCACTCTGGGTACTGTAGTATACCTGGCA